CAGGACTAGAGCTTTGATAAATCATTTCTGAAGAAAACAATATCTAGCGGAACTTTTATGAGAAACAAAAATGATGAAATAAACAAAATCAAATCAAAAGCATTGTTCTGAGAGCAAAACAAAACAAGTTCCAGTGGTGCTAGACTTTGGTTAAAATCCTGGACTTCAGAATGATAAACGATCATTCTAATCGATTGAGCTACCTTGTCAACAGAAGTGTCGACAGTTACTTTATATAAATCACAGTTTAGCAGGTACTATAGTGTACGCTTTTATTATCGTTTTGTAAGGATGTCCAATACGGATGTATGGACAAGGCAGTTGTGACCAGCCTTGTCCAGGGAACTGCTATGGAGGAAATTGCAACGCTATTAATGGGTCATGTTTCTGTAAGTTTCTTATACTGTTGTCTTGATATCTATCAAAACAAATCTATCGCAACCTGTCATCAATACAATTTCTAAATAAGTATTTTGTTTTTATATACAGAATATGACTGCTTCTGGTAGATGCAGCGAATATTAATTAGAATTGCATTTAACAATTATATTTAGATATGTAAACCTCTTTAAACAGATTTTGCTATCAATAGATAAATTTCATTATTTTCATGGCGAAGTATTTTATTTTAATTTTATGAAAAAGACAACCGCATATTTTAGTGGAAATTATGTCAATTGATTTATGTATATTAATATAAAGTGTTTTGACAAACGAATGTTGCTATATTTGATAGTTTTAACAGTCCAATCTTCCTGTCTAAAGTGATTGCGGAAGACAATTAATAATGAAGAAAGGATATCGATTTGTGTGTTTATCTATGTTTGTTCATGATTTCGTGGAACTTAGGTGAGTTAATCAAAACGAAGTAGAACTTTTAAGTGTATGTTTGACATAAATTTAATAATCGCTACAAATCATTCCAATAGAAAGATCAAATTGACAGTAGGGCGTGCACATTGTGCTTAAAACATCAACATAACTGAAACAGATGGATTTACAAATTTACCTTTATGACAAAAAATAATGCTTTAAGATGCTAGCAAGTATACTGGTCACGTCATTATGTCAACTAATGATTTTGATTTCAGATTGTTTTCCAGGGAAATACGGTGACAAGTGTAACAAAGAGTGCACCACTAGCTGCAAAGGCAGTATCTGCGAAAAGGACTCGGGAATATGTACAGGTTAAAACTTAGATAACTGTCATGTACTTGCCAATATATTAGTTGTGTGAAGATTATTTTAGATAAACCATTAAATTTGAAAATAGGAGACATACCAAAACCTTTGCATTATGTAAGCGACAAATAATAAACTTTATGTAAGATTATAGACCTGTTATGTCAGATAATTGAAAATTTGGGTATTTTATGCAAGAAAGAAGATGTCAGTTTCATGCAAGTGGGATACATGTTATACATGTGGCAGTTACTAGAGTAATGTCTGTTGTGTGGACAAATAGGTAGTTTCATGAAGGCTTATGTAAGTTGCACAATTCACAATGTGTGTCAGATAAGGTAAAGATTGAATCGAGTATGTGTTTGATGTACGTCATGTTAGATACGTGGCCAAACTTACGATGTGGTCGCTGAGTGGTAGAACTTTCAGTGTGATCGGTAATCGGGAGATCTTTCGGTGTGGTCAGTAAGTGGTAGAACCTTTGGTATGGTCGGTAAGTAGTAGATCTTTCGGTGTGGTCGGTAAGTGGTAGAACTTCCGATGTTGTCGGTAAGAAGTAGAACCTTTGGTGTGATTGATAAGTGGTAGAACTTTCGATGTGGTCGGTAAGTTGGTCGGTGAGTGGTAAAACTTTTGGTATGGTCGATAAGTGGTAAATCTTTCGGTGTGGTCGGTAATCGGTATAACTTTCGGTGTTGTCGTTAGGTGGTAGAACTTCCAATGTTATCGGTAAGTAGTAGAACTTTCGGTGTGGTTGGTAAGTGGTAGAACTGTCGGTGTGGTCGGTAAGTGGTAGAACTTTCGCTGGGTCGGTAAGTGGTAGAACTTCCGATGTTGTCGGTTAGTGGTAGAACTTTCGGTGTGGTCGGTAAGTGGTAGATTTTTCGATGTGGTCAGTAAGTGGTAGAACATTTGATGTGGTCAGTAATTTGTAGAACATTCGGTGTGGTCGGTTAGTGGTAGAACCTTTGGTATGGTCGGTAAGTAGTAGATCTTTCGGTGTGGTCAATAAATGGTGGAACTTCCGATGTTGTCGGTAAGTGGTAGAACCTTTGGTATGGTCGGTAAGTGGTAGAACTTCCGATGTTGTGGGTAAGTGGTAGAACTTTCGGTGTGGTCGGTAAGTGGTAGAACCTTTGGTATGGTCGATAACTGGTAGATCTTTCGATGTGGTCGGTAAGTGGTAGAACTTCCTGTGTGATCGGTAAGTGGTAGAACTTCCGATGTTGTCGGTAAGTGGTAGAACTTTCGGTATGGTCGGTAAGTGGTAGAACTTTTGGTGTGGTCAGAAAATGATAGAACTTTTGGTGTTGTCGCTAGGTGGTAAACTTTCGATGTTGTCGATAAGTAGTAGAACTTTCTATGTGGTCGGTAAGTGGTAGAAATTTTGGTATGGTCGATAAGTGGTAGATCTTTCGGTGAGGTCGGTAAGTGGTAGAACTTGGGGTGTGGTCGGTAAGTGGTAGAACTGTCGGTGTGATCGATAGGTGGTAAAACCTCCGATGTTGTCGGTAAGTGGTAGAACTGACGGTATGGACCGGTCCGTAAGTGGAAGAACTAACCTCGGTGTGTGACAGGAAAGAGACATCGCAAAATGTTAGACGTTGGTCAGCTAAGATGCGTGGCAAAACTTACGATGTGGTCGGAATGTGGCAGAAGCTTTGGTGTGGTCGTAAGTAGTAGAAGTTTGGGTGTGGTCGTATGTAGTGGAAGTTTCGGTGTGGTCGGTAAGATAAGTGGCAGAACTTAAGATGTGTTTTAGATGTGGTCGGAAAGAGACAAAACTTTATAAGTGTTAAAAATGATAGATCGTTTGATTTGTGAAGGGAAAGATGAGTGGCAAAATTAATAGGACAACCATGCGGCCATGAATTAGAATTGTTTTGATTTGTTTTATCTAATCCATACAAACTCATCCTTAGCTCCATACACACACTGATGAAACAAAAAAGAGGACAGGGAACGCATAATTCTTTTTCGAGTTTAATGTGGATTGTTTTACTTATAAATACAAACTAATCTATATTTCAACGTAAACTCATCAAGCCAAAGACGTAGACATGAACGGAATCATTAACTTACAGTGGATACGGTATGACTAATCTATACAAACGTATCATAAGATCCGTGTCAGCTTACCAATCCAAAGAAGAAAACCAAGTTGTTAGTATGAGGGGAAAATGATAAAAACAATTTTTTCAAATACAATGTTTATGTATACACATTCTATGATAAAAGCATATAGCGGTTCATTACATTTATTTAATTTATTATTTCATTTTGTATGAATTTTGTCATGAAAATATCTTTTCTATCAAATCTTATGCTTATCATTTCAGAATGCAATCAAACAAAATATGGAGATTTCTGTAAGCAAGATTGCTCTAGGAATTGTAACGACAGCAAGTGTTACCAACATACTGGCTATTGTAAAGGTACTTATAGATTATCGATTTAAACGCAGTTTGATGTTATGTCACTTCAATGGTTCATGCTTCATCTACTACTAAGTCATTCTTAAAACGAATATATATGCTGGATAATCTATTTTATATATAAAGATTGTGAACGAAATAAACAATTTTCAAAATGCTCACCTGGTCGTAGCAAGAACACAAAAAAAACAGACTTGATAAATATCATATATAAATCCTTTGTCAAAGAATGATAAAAATAAACATCTCACGTCAGTATTGAAATAATGTTTATGATATCTAGGATGGATATGTAGGAGGATAAATATAATCTTGCATGTTGTGCGTGGACGGGGAAATCTTAACCCGAGGACAAGAGTTTGTTCGCCCAGCGCTACGGCGGGCTGATCAGCCAAACTCTAACCCGAGGGTTGAGATTTCACTGCCTACGGTCCACACCTATTGTTAATTTGTTTCAGTACTCGAAATAAACATGCATGTGTCATTACTCTTTACGTAATCATATGATTGTATTCCATGAAAAGCGTGCATGAATACAACCATGTTAATTCATAGGGGTGATGAACTCTGAACATAAAATACGAAATCTAATTAAAGCACAAAGTTAACAAAAGATTTATTCAATAGCCAACAACTGCATTAATATATTTTATAATAAAAAGAAAAAGAATTCATTTACCACAGTCGACAAAACATAAATATTTCCAACGCCGACGCCATGACATCATATCGGGTGTAAGCTATATTTTCATAGGGAAAGACGTATTTATCTTTTCACAGAGGAATTCCTGTATATCAAGGGCAAATTTGGGAGATTAATAGAATATGTAAGCCCCTTTGGGTGAAATAGGTAAACCTCAACCCGCGAGGGAGACTCTTAATTGCCAAATACAAGGCTTTCCCAAGTGTTTGGCACCTTAAGAATCTTTTCCCGGTAGTTGAGATTCCTAATCTTACCTCAAGGGGATTCTTTCTCTCTTTCCCTATTCAGCCATTGTGTATCATAGTATAATGTAATGGCAACGCTACAGGCTTAATGCATGGTTGACGTGACGTCATTGAATTGTTGACGTGTCGTCATACAATTGCTATGAATAGGAGAATTCCCCGTGTTAACATTTAAGTGAGACAAGGATATCTCACACCAGGAAAAAGTGTTGATACATCTGACAAGGATGAGAGGAAAAGACCTACATATTTGGAATTGGCAAATTTACGGTTGTCGGCAAGTGTAACACAGTGATTTCTTAAAATTGCAACTTAGCTATATTATAATAACTATGTTATTTTTTCGTAATAAAGAAAAAGACAAATCTAAATGGCAATTGCACTGTACGAGATGTTTCAAATTATGACATAGAGATATTTTCACGAATCGCTCACCACTTTTAAAAAACGATACGAGTAGACAGATAATTGAAAATTATCTGCTTGTTATTTAGTAAAAAACATATGCAGTAAATATCGGTGAAAAGGCAATCATATCCGCTCTTTATTTACGTATGCGTTACATGTTCACTATATCAACAAATCTAACCATGCTGCAGTCATAACATTATGAACGATGTTTTTGCGTGTCTGATTTAATAATTCATTTCCCTCGTTTTTTCAAACAAAAAAAACCACATCAGGGAAACTGTTTCCAATTGTCTGTAGTTCTGTCACTAATTCTGTCAGAGCGATAATATTCGGTTTTCAAAGCGTTAACTATTTTACAGAGATTGCTTTATACAGGTTTTTGCATTTCTTTTCAAACATGTCGCTGATGATGTACTTAAACATTTACCTTATGTTTTTACAGGATGTATTCCTGGAAGGTCCGGTGACAGGTGTGAACGTCATTGCTCTGGTAACTGTAAAAACATGACATGTCTACAGGACAGTGGAAACTGTATAGGTGAGAAGCATTTACTGGCCTTTCCAAATTATTGATACATTTGTTAGCATTACAGATTCACTCATTTGATGATCCCGCAATGTTATAGTTGCAGCATCACATCCCTCATCAATAACTAATACTTCCTGAATTTCACCAGGACGTCGTTTTTTTCCCCGATCGTACGCTTTTTAAAGAACTATTTACATTTGAGTACTTGGTAACTAGTTTGTGTATCAACACCACACATTACACATAATATGTTGATGTGATAATACCAAGTTGTACATGCACACTTACAATGTTAATGCATTGACACTACAAGATACACGTAACATATGTATGCATTGACACTACAAGGTACACATAATATAATTAAGTTTCGACACTAGGCAGTTAATGCATCGATATCACACTATAAACATAATTTGTCTGTGTAACAACTCCAGACGGTTCACATAATAGCTACCGTTGTAGACACATTGTGATTCACATAAACACAATATGCTAATGTATCGATACTGCACGGTAGATAAACTATATGTCTATGCAACAAAACTAAACAGATTCTCCAGATGACCGCCAGTGGCAATCATGTACTTTTGTACGTAAGTATCCGTATAGAAGTTTTCTTGAGAAAATCTTTTTGGATGCTTTTATATAGATGAAGCTCCCTGCAAATACCTATCCATTTTGATTTTGACCCATATCTGAAATTAAGCATGGCCATCAGTGGCAAAATTGAATATTTCGACATCTAAAGTGATTTTCAAGCGATAAGACAAAACAAAAATAGTATACCAAATGGTTAACTAAAGCATAATTCAATAAGACTAGAGCAAAATATGTACAAAGGAAAGATTTATTAGGAGACCCTTGAAAACGTACGAGGAGAAGTAGAACTGATGTGTATGAATGGCATACGTATTCTGCCTCATTGACGACATCAACTAATTATACTTTGGCAAACTATGTATTAGTAAGGGTTTATCAGTATAACGGTGTGTATTATTTTTAGGATGTGTTCAAGGAAAACAAGGTGTACAGTGCGCTGAAGATTGTCCAAGCGACTGTTTGACATGCGTGCAAGATGATGGAAAATGTACAGGTAAATGCACGTCCATTACATTGTGGCATACATCACATTTGGTTGTTGAGGATAGACTCATTTCGTGTATCCCGAATGTGTTATATTCAACAGGCATATACATTTTCGGAACTCGTTTTCATGAAAATGTTTTCAAGCTCAAACCAAAATTCTGTGGTAAGTCAACATTTTATATGAGATTGAATAATCGAATCTTGAGTTTCAAGTTTACCCACTAAAATAAAATTCCATAGCATCGTGTTTAATTATTGAGAAAACGTCATTATCGTGATCATCGAAAACTAATTGCAATCGTGTATATTTTTTTTTAGAGTTAGCTAAATACATTGTATAGTTATGAATTATTGCATCAGCAAATTGATTACAACTTTAAGTTTCCCTTTCTTTTCGACGTTGGCTTCCATTCTTGTCAGTTTCAAAAAGTTGTCTCACTTCTGCAGGACACCGATGATATAAGAAACAAATCCGATCTTTTTATTTGGTTGAATTACATGTGTAATGTGCATTCATCCCTTATGCTATTTATTGAACGCTGTTTCTTTAGAATGTGTTCGTGGTAAATATGGTTCAAATTGTGAACTGGATTGCAATGACAACTGTAAAGATAACATTTGCACAAAAGACGATGGCAACTGTCTTGGTAAGTAAAAGTTCTAATTTTCTTGCGAACTAAAACCAAAACATAGAATCACTAATACAGTTTTTTTATTGTCGTATTCGTGAACAATACCTTATATTTCGACGTCCAATAATATGGGAATCATAACTTCAAAAAGGTAAATGTACTCATTTAGCGGTAAACTTCTTTAACTGCTTTTCGTGCTAATTCTGAAAAACACCATTACATTTTAGAATTGTTATAATTTGTGTGGAATATTTCTGTTCATTTTATGCCCTTTCCTACAGTTTTCTCGTTAACCGTTAATTTCATTGATTCTTAAGAAGTACATATATGTATATGTATGTGTGATTGTTTTGGTATTTGTATATACTTATGACCATGTTTCTACACAACGATCTTTTGATCAAACCTCATTTTTTCAGAAACTACAAAACGTTTTTCAAATAACATGTACAGAAATTGTCAAAGTTGAGACTGTTCTTTATACACGATTACAAAACTGCCCCCGAACTTCCATATTTCGAGGAAAGGGAGTATCTCATATAAGTGCCAAGATGTAATACCTTAGAATAATTTACTAATATGGACATGTGGCTTGATCAGTGAAACTAATATGCGCTATGTAAAACGAAGCAAAGAACGAACAAACTTATGACTTAATGAATCGTTCATTGTTTTGAAAATTTCTTTTGATTGAAGCCTGATTTAGTTACATCACTTTCATGTGACATGTACTCGAAAAAAATAACCTTTCAATTCAAAGAATGTCAGCATGGATATCACGGCGTGGACTGCACACTAGAATGCGAATCCGACTGCAAAATTTGCCAACGGGAAGACGGTGATTGTACAGGTAATCAAGTGAAATTCACACACAAAAATTGATTCAAACGGTAGCATCCAATTATCAATATTTATATAGTTTTAAAGAAGGAAAGTCCAATGTAAGTATTTACTAAATTTTGTTTTATTGGTTTTACACAGTTTCTGCATGTTGTAGTAAAACACCGACTTTGTCTTTGCATATTGACGATGTACAAAAATATTAGCTCGCTTGTTGCTCATATATCTTCCAGATGCTGCCGATCAGTTTGCAGAATTTACACCATACGTTTGTGATTTGTATTATGTGTTAAAGATTATATACATGTTACAACAACAGAATGCTTGGATGGTTTATATGGTGGAAACTGCAGTCTGTCTTGTGTCAAGTGTGATCGGTGTTCTAGGGACACTGGAAAGTGCCTCACTACCTGCATGCCTGGATACGAAGGAGACTTTTGTCAAATGAGTAAGATGCTATTTCGCAGGTAACACCTGAACAAAACATGGGTTATACAGGCACAACAAATACTATACATTAGGGCCCAGATGATATCTGCATGATTAATTTAATGAAAATTTCCAAACGACACATTTTGAGAACTATCTAAGAGTTTAAATATATTTAAGATTTTCTTTTCTACAGATGATCGTTGTGTATTCATATACTTGTAATTTTAGTTTAGATTTTAATATAATATCATCAAAAATAAATAAGTTTAAGTTTTCTTTAGAATTTTCTCTAAGCTGTGAACAACAGGGCTGTTTTCGCCGTAATGGATAAAATGACAGAATTAACCACCGGTTGATAAATAGCACGAGATACTTCAATTATAACAATACATTGTATATATCTATTTGTTGTGGCTTTGTAATGAAGCAAATATAACGATATGATCACGGTTTTAAATTATGCGACCAGTATATTCAACTTTACTTCAAGATAACTGCATTATTACTATGTGGATCTTCCAGAAAAGCTATTACAGAAACAACCGAAAGTACAATGTAGCGTGTTTTGCTTTGAAGGCATAAAATCGCCCCCACAGGATGATTCTACTGGGACGACAGTTGGCATTGTTGTTGGATTGCTTCTCTTGGTATCTATTATAACAATTAGCGTTGTGTTCTTCATTAGGAGGTATGTATGTTTATTAATTCTTGAAAGAGGGGTAACTTTCCTGTTTATTAACTTACAGAGTAATTGTATTACCATGTATAATAACATACTACTTGCATATGTTCATGTCTCGTGTCGTCTAGGCAGGTTATGGAAAACGATAAAAGTGTGGAATTTTCATGTGTAAAAAAAAAGAGTTTTATATAGATGTCGTTCTTCGTTTGTAACAGCGTGTAAGTCATTGGATCCTTTAATGTCTATGTCCGGCGTAAAATTGAAGCTTCCGTTTACACTGAAACCTATATTCAAATTGTTAAACCACATTTCCACTGTAAACTTACATTAACAAACCTTTAATTTTGAAAGCTTATATTTAGACTGTGTGTCTACATTTCACTTTGAACTTATTTTTACACTGAAAATCTACATTTCCACTTTAACATATACTAGCAATGCAAACCTTTATTACATTACTGACCTTAGTTTTGAAAACCTTTATTAACACTGTATGCCGTTCACTTCTTACCTACATTTTCACTGTAAACGTACATTAAACTGTAAACCTGCATTAAATTGAATTACGACAAAGCCATGTTTTCCAGCTGCTCCTTAATCCAGACACTTTGTCGGGTAACTTAAGTAGCTGGATTATAAGGTCTGGCTATGCATTTTAGGGGCAGACAGAACTCTTCGAAGGAAGAAGATTCATTGGATGACTTCGGCAGGCGGGAGGTGTCTCGATCATCACGGCTCAACACTGGCTATGGTAATTTCATAATATAAGACGAGCTATTCTTTCAACTGCAAGCTTAAGCTTGATCCTTTTTTGCGGGAGGGGGGAGGGGATACTTTTTTTATTCGGTCATTACAATTTGTATTTCATTTTAGAGTCAGATGAACGAACGTCAGAACCATTAGCGAAACTCGATAACGTTTACGTCAATTCCGGAAATGTAAACAAAACAGTAGACCCATACGAAGAGGTTTACTGTAATTCTGGTTCTGAGGGTATCGCTATTAGTGACCTGACATCGTTGGTGAAAACAAAGATGTTAAACAAAGCAAAAGCGTTTGAAGAGGAATACAAGGTAGATATTATGTACCAAGTTCTTTGTTAAATCGATTTATACACGATATAACCACACACGTTTTCTAATCAAAACGAGTAAATAAGTCAACTTTTAATTATGCAATGTTAGTTTAATAAAGGTAAGCCTAGCAGTATATTTTAATTTTATAAATGTTGATAATATCGATATATTTTTAGAAAATATCACACGCGTCTTTACTTATCCTCGTATCTCTGTACCAATGGATTATGCCATGACTAAATTGAAGGTGTGTAATTAGCGATAAAACATTTTCATGTATAACAACCTGACCAATCGCTATACTGATACCTGTCCTTTGATGATTACAGTGAAGTGACACTCGACTACAAATCATGTCAATTTAACCGTTATGCTGCCATGTGATTCTTTTGATGCGTATAAAGGTTTAACTGGTCAATTTGTATCATCCGCAAGGAAGCGCGTACATAACCTTCAATTTTGTCATGACATATTTCAGGGTGACAAAATATCTGGAATTTCAAGGTGGTCCGTATCTGCTCTCGTAGATAATCTGATTTTTTATTATAGTATGACTACAATTAAGGTATACATATATATAACCTCTAATTATACGTCTTAGTCACTTCTGTAGGTCATACGTTGCTATGTTATTGCATAGGTATCTATCTCCACAAGTTTATAAAAAAAAATAAAAAAATCTATGAAGTTAACAGTTATATATTTCCATTGCATGTTTTGTACAGTCGCTACCATCAGGGGATTTGTATGAACATAAAGTTGGGATGATGACCGAAAACAAACTAAAAAACAGATTTAAGACCACGTTTCCATGTAAGTAGCACTCCAGACCCACACCATTTCATACAAACTCCTATATTATCATACTTTGGCTATTTAACCGCCTGTTCTGATTCGATTGAGCTGATACAACCACGTGATATTTGATCGTCGTGTTTTTCTTGTTCTCGAGTTTCGCGGTCATGATTACCTCATTTTCAACCTCCCTAAGACTACATAGTAAGAAGTATCGCCTTGTATGTCCAAGTAAGTGAAATAGAGGACAACAATGGTAAGTACACCGGATAATATTGGCTGTCCTGCGATAATTTCGTTTTGATTTAATGCATTATTTAGTGGCCTTACAGTGTTAAATATGTCACACTATCCATTTTGTTATATTTTACAGATGACCATTCACGAGTAGTCCTTGACAAACAGGACAAAGATCCACACTCGGACTACATTAATGCAAGCTATATCGATGTTTGTGATTTTATTTTTTATTATACTTCTTTATTTCTTTATTCATTTTATGAACTATATATTTTCATTGTCACAAACCTTAGTTCCGTGCTCGGAATATCCATAATTGTGTCACCAGAAATATTACAGATTGCAAAGTATTTCACTTTTGAATGTTCCCAGCATTTTTAGTTATCCTACTTGACTTTGTATTATTCTGTCTTCATTTTTTATGTATCGGATAGGATTTTAAATTTCGGAAAACGTGTACCTAATAATATATTATTTTAAATCTATACTACCTGTATCTACATGTCATTTACAGTTGATTTATAGCAATGCCAATGTAAAATAAGTTAGCATTGTAAAATATACAGATACCATCAGTTTAAGGCTGCAGATGTTTAATCATCTAACTGTTCGGATGAAGAAACCAAAATATGGGTTACGAAATGACATCATAAGATGATAGTTCGTACACGTACAGTTCATTTACTTTTCAGAGTGTCACGCTACCTGCTGAGTATATAGCAACACAAGGTAAACTGAATTATGATTCCACGCATTAATAATTGAAGAATTATTTTCAAAGATCAGCAGTGTTCCATTACCAAAAATGCATCGTCCTTATACAACAAAAGTGTTTCATTACAAATAATGAATTGTTTAAATACAAAAAAATATTGTATTTTGACATTAATCCAAAACAGTTGTTTTCTAAATTATCTCACCTTTACAGGACCAACAAACAAAACCGTAGATGATCTGTGGCGTATGATCTGGCAACTGAAATCTGGCAAAATCATAATGCTTACTAATCTGTCTGAGGGACCAAAGGTAAAAAGCATGGCGATGAGCTTTCAAAATTTGTTCTGAATCTTGTAAATAGTCTACAATCAAAACCTTCCACACGGTAATAGCCAAGCTAGTTTAAAACAACGATTAATATCGCATTAATATCAAAGCAATACGATAAGCTTCAAAAGTATACTGGACATTCTTAGTGATTAGTTGCATGTGATTTCACATATCCATTGTTATCACGCTACAGTCGTGCTTAAAAAAATATATTTCAATGTCAGAAAAAGTGTGTGAAATACTGGCCTGACGAAGGACAACCGATGTCTACAAAACATTTTGAGATCGTCCTAGACAGAGAAAGGGTCTACGCCTTCTATGTCATCCGGGATATCATTCTCACAGAAAAGAAGGTAATTTTAGTACGAGGTTTTCTTACCAAGACTTATCAGAACACGATTAGAGCATACACTCATTCAATCGTATTCCATTTTATCATGTTTGTTTATTAGATGAACATTTGATGTATGACCCCAACATTTAACGTTTTCCTATTATGAATAACAAAAAAGACCCTTAATTATAGCCTATCATGTAAAACAAAGCAAAAGAAAATTAATTTAGAACAATTAATACAGGAAGAAATATTATTTATATCTGCCTTTCTAAAAGTCCTTCGTTTCAATCATCCTAGTATAAAGGAGCTAATGAATTAACGTCGCATGTTCAAATTTCATTATATAAAAATAACGATATTTTCAGACCAAATCAGTGCGACAAGTACACCAGTTTCACTACACAACGTGGCCAGACCACGGAACCCCAAACCCCAACGAACTTATCGTGTTCCATCGCCGAGTGAAGCTTTACAAGAATTCCTTACCAGGAAAGATGGTTGTCCATTGCAGGTGCATTTGTTTATTTTGCTTTGGCCGTAGGATTTTTCTTGAAAAGGGAATTCTGGTTTGTTTCACAGTAACTTGCAACAACTAATCGATTTTCTATAATCATTTACAAACGATTTGAATTTGCACTGTCGTCTTTCATTGTGGTCGAAGTGTAAAATAAGTTCGTTCCATTTTTTGTTAGCGGATAATCGTTCTTGAATTATCAATTACTCACATTGATTGGCACGGGTATCACTAAAAAAGGATATACACTATAGCGTATTTAGCAATATATACTCTTTTTATATAGTTCTAGTATCCTAACTGTGATTTTTTTACTTACAGTGCCGGTATCGGGCGAACAGGAACGTTCATAGCGCTGGATGCTTTGTTGGATTACGGCAAAGAATCTGGAATGGTCGACATCATAGGTTACATTAGAACCATGAGGAAGGACAGGGTCAATATGGTTCAAACCATTGTAAGTCGTAAAAATTACAAAAAAATACCAATTCATTTTTGTGCACATTAATAATTGATATAAGGCAATGAATTAACATTTTTTTCTTATATATACAGAAGCTTTTTCAAATTCAGAATCATCGGTGATCTCTTAATCTCGGATACACTCGAACCACAATTAATATGATCGTTCGATTATTTAAATTAACTAAACTAAGATTGGGAAGAAAATAAAATAACGAAAATGCAGATAATCCTTTTTTATAAGTGACGAATGGTTCGAAGTTGTATTCAATTCCATTGTTGCATTTAGGATCAGTATATTGCTCTGCACAACATCCTGATTGAGGCGTTTGACATGCCAGACACCCTTATACCCAGAGTGGAATACCATGCAGCACTGAACAGACTGTCGGATGATGTCCCAGTTAACCAAACGAAATTATGGCAGGAACATCAGGTAACATTTTCATTTTAATCAAACATCTGAGTTGTAGATATTGGACATTTTAAAGAAAAAGGGCCCAACAAGTTAAACTATATAATTACGATTCTTACTACTGTCAATATTTGCTTAAGTCAATTTCAAAAGGAGTATTCTATGTAAATCAAATGTTGCAATATATTCTACAGCATTTCAAATTTAAATGTTTGGAAATATAAATTTAGCAAAACACTTGGGGTCGAATTCGGAGTTCTTTACAGTGCTAAACCTACACTTTACCAATGTTGCCATACAGAAGCACATCATCATGACCGGGTCAGAACAGTAACTCTAAGCAAGAAAAGCTCCCAAGTAATGCTTCATTTTCTATATAGAGGGGAGGCTACTCCGGGTAAATAAAATCGGAATAGAACCCTCCCCACAATTATAAATAATGCAGTGGTACCCTTTCCTCTGATCAAATAATAATATTTCAGAATGTTATATTTTAATGTTTATCTTTATGTCTATTATACATCCATTTGCTAATTGTATACCAAAGACACCCTGTGTTATGCGCTGTGTGTTGAATTGCAAGCATTGTTCTGACTTATTAGCCCTTTTGCAATAAAATAGAGTTATTTTGTATATACACTTTCTCGTAAATGAATATCACCTCGAAAATGTGATCACTGTAAAAGGCAGCTTCTCCACTACGCTACCGGTAAAGATATTTTTTATATAAATACGTTTGTGCAACATGCCTGGGAGTATTTCTAAAACTTAGTCTAACTCCCAAACAGGCCAGCGATCTTAATTTGCTTTGTATGAATACAGAGCAAAATATCAATTTTAGAGGAAGATAACTTTACAATGCCCGCATATATTAGACAAGTGTTAAAACTCTCTACTTTAAAAAGACTTTTTAATATTGAAATATTATACTGATATGAACATGTACCCTTTTTTCTCTTAACATCTTTTATTTATAAAATTGGAAAATAAATAACTGACACGTCTTTTTATGCTTAAATAAACCAGCTATTTGGTAAGTGTTGCACAAAGTATGTCCCTACCCCTCCTTCGCCAAATGTGAAGTAAAACACCACAAAATCAACAAACATAGACAAGATTGGAACTCAAAGTTAATCGAATAAAGGCAAGTATGTTTGCCTCGCATGGTATATCTTATTGTATAATTAACGTGAAACAAATCTGACGTTTTTAGTTGTTGCAAACTATGAAGCCAACATATACCAAAGTCGACTATAAAGCAGCACTCCTTCCCGTCAACCGCAACAAAAACAAGGATCCGAATGTCTTAGCAGGTAAGCTGTTTATACAGTTGTATAAATATTCAATAAATGATTTACCTACATCGCACGTTACGTTTATAACATGAAAACATTTGATTACATTACTTTTTTTTTTTATCTATGTATTAATGATATCATTTATTTTTATCCTTTATTTATTTATTTTTCATTATTTATTTATTTCCTATCTTATTATTTATGTAATTGACTTATTTATTGATTGATATTTATGTATATCATTTTGTTTACAGTTGACAAATTCAGAGCATACCTGACGTCATCATTATCCGACAGAACCGATTATATCAACGCTGTGGCTGTTCCTGTAAATATTTGTTATTCTTGCCTTTTCAAATCGCCAGTGTTTTTAACAACAAAAGATGTGGACAACAATAATAAAACAACATGACTTTTTATACAAGACCACGTATCAATTAGGATAATAGAAATTTATTATGAATATGTCGTCTCATTTTGAAATATACCATGATAATCTGTTGCTGATGATAACTCAAATACTTAAAAATGTCTTTATCAGTCTTACACGTCTCGAACCGGTTACATCATTACCCAGAGTCCTGTAGATGACACCATCGTCGATGTTTTGACAATGATAATGGACAACCAATGTGATACCATTGTTATCATTGAAAAAGACCCCATCGTAAGTGTACGAGCTTGAAATCTTATTGAAAGTATAACAAAATGATATCCTATATATATTCCTGATATCGATATAAAAAGTATTTCACAATTGCGTTACATTTTATAACAGAAGTAAATCTTCTTTCAATATTACATTATGTAGTATACATCGTTGAAAAGATCGACATACACATTTTAATTATATTAAGTAATGTTAATAATTGAGCTGTAATTTTGTAAATCAACTGATTATTTCATAGAAATGGTTGCCAGAAGAAGGAAAAGATAGCTCAATTGGAAAATTCACACTGAAACATTTAGGAGGCTCTTCAAATCTGGTCCATATTGATTTGATAGAAATTGCGATCTCAAATCAGGTAGGACTTGAAAGCGAGCATTGTGGAGATTATTTGATAATTAAAATATAACTTTTTAAAGTGTTCATGAATATAGTCAGGTCCATGTGAAACCACCCATGTAAACTTTATCATGTTCGGTGGTATTACCTCTCTGTTAGCGCTATTTGCTTCGTTAGTATTACATCAGTATTCTGAAAGCACATATTTGTTGGAGTAAATGTGATAAAAAAAATATGTTTGAATATCACTGTTACCGGAAATGCAGTCTGATAATATCTGCATCCAAAAAAGCTGAAAATAGACATTTTTGTATGTTATTTAATTGATTTGTTAATGCCTAATCAGTGAGATACTGTTTAAATCCCTTCACTAAAAGTATGTCTTTTGAATGAATGTTTTAATGACGCAACAATATGATTCCAGAGTCATAAATATGACACCAATGTTCGAGTGTTTCGAATGACTGGTTGGGAAAGAGACGTATCAGATCCGCCAAATTCATCGGCAGTTCTTCAGCTTCTAGAACTTGTAGACAGCAGACGGAAGTCACATGACTCGAAAACGACTGTAGTCATGTGCCGGTATGTAGCGACGGTCACACAAAATGTCCATTACTCCAAATGACACAGTTGTTCTGACTCAAACAAGCATTGCTCTTTCCGCTTTCGCCTCTACCTTTTTGTTTCTTTAATATCCATTTCAACAATTTTATCAGTAAACATTCTTCAAAATATACATCAGTGAATTTAAATTAAACAAATATAAATTAAGAAAAACTGATGTATACTCAGTTGTCTCGTACTGGACATTATACACTTAAACAACAAATGGCAACACGTTAATCGTTTATACATCAGGACACACGAATAATAGTCAATATAAGCAATAAAAATTGTAAGATGGGAAACAAAATTTACTATGTCATAACTTTATCATAACAAAATATTCTTAAAACTTTTTATGATAATACAAATGTCAGAAAAAAAGCTTTCATATAAGAATGAGCTTTGTATGGAATGCAATATTTTTTTTTTCAATTAAATAAACACATCTTTCGTTTTTGTAACATTAAGTATGTTTCGGTGAAGATAAATGTCATCAATATTTTACATATTTCAGGGACGGATATACACAGAGTGGGCTTTTCTGCTGTGTCAGCAATGCTAGAGACCAGATGAAGATTGACGAGGAAGTCGATATGTTTCAGATTTCTCGACAGGTTCTTGTCAGACGTCCGGAATGCATCACAAGTGTTGTGAGTACAAAGCATGTAAATTCGATGTATGCCATTATTTTGTATTTCAAATTAGTCAGAAGTCCCTCGATAAGCTACTGGTTTCAAACGTTTAATTTTTCAAACGATAAGTATATGCCAATACATTATGTACAAATACAATGATAGATATATATAAACTACCTTTAAGTATTACTTAAATGCAGCGAGACTGCAGGAGTTTTCTTTTCCTGAAATGATTGAATAATTGTTTTCGTAACAATAAGCAATTCATTTACACGAATCCCTATCAAGCGTTATCGGAAATATTTTTATTTTGAAATTATATATATATATATATATTGTTGATATCGATGGCATTAAGTAAAATATATTTATTAATAAAATGATTTGTAGGACCAGTACAAGTGTTGTTACAACCTGGTCAAAGAGTACTTGGACACCACAGACGTGTATGTCAACTGACAGAGGACTAATACCAGTATAATACTAACTGATCAGTGACTATCTGGAACGCAGAAGTGTAAATGTCATACAAACTTATCAAGAATTAAAAGGAGAGTGCATTTATTGGTTTTGCTTGTTTCCCCAAATCCTTTTGTGTCCGAAAAAACCCCGTTGATATTGATTTAAACATATTATTTTATTTGTCATTCAACAAAAAGGATTAGGCACACGTTATCTCAACTTAGAAACGCCCTCTCTGTTGATATCCATATGGATTAAAACTGTAGGAGTAAACCAGTACTATTAACACGTGTTTAAGACTTACATAGACAAAGTTCCAACACCAGTAGGGCTGCTGAAGAAGATTTATAGTATTTAATGTGTACATGCTGTACAGTTCAGATAGAGGTAAAACCTAGTACACATAGTTGTTGAAGTAGATCTGTCTGTATCTTCATGCAACTGATACAGTTGACGACCTGTGTTATTGGTTTGGTGGCGTATTCTTACGTTTTCGCTGATCCTTAAACACAAGACAATTATTAAAAGTACTGAATTTCAGCGGAATCCCGTCTTAGAAGATTTCTAGGGATTGGTAAACTATAGTTCAACTTTGTACAATGAGCATCCTTGCACAGGAGGAGCTAAATTGGTTCTCTTACGTTCATTAAACAATGCCTTCAAACTTTTCCTCATTTGTGCATAATTGGTTATACCGAGTTACACAACAATGGCACTGTGCACTAATCTTCATTATATAACTATACATATCAAACACACATTGTATATTACAAATGTACACTCATAAATATACATCTACCGGTAAGCTTTGAAATAGATCAAATTTTTTTTCACGCATGTGTTAGCTGTTATCTGCGCGAAACTTTCTCTTGCCTAATCCAATAAACGATATACTATTTTTTTCCAATAATTAATTGATTTCAAATAAAGCACTAACCGTATTTTACGATAAATTTAATCATATTATTGTACAAAATAACATTGCTGTACTTTGTATCAGAAAGTATGAATAACCTAGTATGATACATAAATACTTAGGAGCGGAGTAAGAACGTGTCTGCACCTTTTTGTCCTTAAATTGAATTTTAGATTTTCTGTCAAATGTTCACAAGTTGTTTGGTGATTGTTACCGCTGTTGACCTGTTTATACACAAATACCATCACAAATTTCATGGTGCGTAATCATACAGACAGTGTTACTTTTCATTGTAACCTTTTCTACCCTGGTTATATATACCGACATATTGATTTTGCTGCATTTTTTCATTTGTAGCAGATGAACAAACGCTATGTTTTTCTTTCATATATTTTGTGTATGTACAAACTGTAAACAATGTATCCGATATTATCGAATAATTGGAAAACCTCAAACAATGATCAAGGTCTGAAAACCTAACGAGAGCAAATTCGGGAAACCAAATAAAGGGCGAAACAACTACATATGTATACGATGTAGTGTTATTTATTTGTTGTATAATGTACCAATTACCCAATTTTAAAATGTGCAATCACTTGTGTGTATGTTAAAATTTTACTCATGCTGTAGTTCCTTTTTTGTGAATCATTATTTGTGATCTTATAATTTCGTTGGTAGAACTATGTAGCTAAGTCAACATCAAATAGTGTAGGCACGGTAAGTTTCGATTTGTTTTGTTTTTCTATCATTTACGCAAAAATGTTTGAGTAAGATCATACTTATAATCAGCTTTATTCTCTTTGGAAAATAAATGTCAGATACGAAGAAAAACCGTGGAAAATATACTGCAGATGTTGCTGATTTGGCTGCATAGTCACCACATTTGATGCGCTTAAGTTTATCAACAAACATACGTTTTGTTAGAATATCTTGTTCAGCATCACGTATGCATCTCTGGTACCAATGTGATAGTGCAGATGAACTAAGGACCGAACGGACCTCTTATGGTTTGATTTTCGATCAGATCTCCCTTTTTCAGCGATCCATAACTGTGATATGTACAATGTTTTAGCATTGATGAAGTAAAAGTTACTTGTACAGTATTGAAGCATTTTCTCTAGAAAACTTCTTATAAAACAGATAAAATACACATTTTCCCGCAAGATAATTTTATTTGGATTAATATATATATAATTACAATTTATTATAACAAAATGATTTGCTATTTACACTTTGTTTACATCTCAAATGAATTTAAATTATTCTTTGAAATCCATATATTAAGCTAAAGGTTTAATTATAAAGTGTTACGCCCAATTATATAATCTGAAACATTGTTATACCCCCTAGAAAGGCCTATATTGTCATCAGTTGCTGACATCCTCCAAAATATAATGATTTCGGAAATCAAAAAATATAGTTATAATATTTTGTTTTGAGAGTTCTTAAACCGTACCTTATGTGCTAAATACTAATTTATGTCCTTCAAGAAATATTGCATCTACAAAATGATAACGGCTTTCTTGAAATGATTTTAATCTTATTAATACCACTGTCATAGTAACATCCCTTTCGAAGTACAATGTATACAATCTACATGTTTCGACTAACAAAGTCACTTGTTAATGTCAATATCCGTTGATTATTGTTTTTTTTATTAAGTACTGAGAATATCATTTTTAAATATATGAATTAACTATTGAATGTTACTATAGTATGTCCTTAGAAATATTACATCAACGTTTTTTACTAAATGAATCACTGTTACTTCTGATGTTTATCTCTGTTGTCCTTTAGGCCATGTTTGTATACTACAACATGTTATTATTACATGCTTACATCCTATTTGCATTACAGTGACTTCGCTTCACACTACGTAATTTTCTAACATTATTTTGAGTTTTCCATGCATAAACTAATTCACTATCACATGTTAACGTCCTTCCGGAAGTATCGAGACTCTGCTTTGTAAACTAAGTCTAACTCGATAACAGATCGATACAGATGGCAGCCACCAGTGATTTCATCCGTTACCAAATAAAAGGTGAAGGACACACAGTGTATGCCCTCCTGACATTTTAGAGCGCACTCTATAATCCCAGGTAAATAATACATAGCATTGGAATTATGAATAGTTGGGTCAGGACCCATGTTCTCACTCACTAGAATAAATATTGACCACACTATTGAGGGTTCCGTTTGTGAGACGTTCACGACAACAGATGTGGACAGTAAACTTGTAGTGGACGGTGACGTCATATCGCTAACACCTGGTATTTCATTCGTCGACATCGGAGTGGGAGGCATGTCCGTTACTTCATCTTTAGCTGTGGATTAAAAATGACCACTATCAAAAGAATAACTCTTTATAAATACAAAGTATATTTTTTGTCTCCACAATAAATCGATATCTAAAAGACCTGCATTATATTGGAAAATCGGATCCATTGTCTATAATTTCCAAAAAATGTAAAAGTGTTTGTGGAGTAGGTGATCAAACTTAACATTACGGTCTTTAAACCACCGTAGAGATGCAGTTAATCTTGGAGAAAAATATAATGTTTTCTTACCACAAGGGCAATATGTAATGTATTACGTCAAAGTAGAATAATTACATTACAGCAAGGGTGAGTGGCTATTTGTGTCAGTTTTAGCCACCTAGAGTTCAGAGTCATTCCTCTAGCTCATATTTCTAGAGAAACCCTGAGTGAGGTAAATGTGACCAAAAAAACCCAAGAGAGAAACGGGGCGTTTTATAAGCAAAGGATCAGTAGACTTAATACACAATGTTAGGTAGATGAGGTATACTTACTGTTTTTGTAGTCAAATTATTCCTACAGAAAGTATCAGTCGACGTATGGATAATGAACATTCCATAAATATAACATTAGTGTATTTTACCATTTAAAGAAATATCGTAAAAAAGAATCACAAAAAAAACTAATCGGGCCGAAAATGCGGGTTTTAAACTTTTGTGAAAAACTGATGATATGTTACTAGAATGAGTAAATAATTAATTCTTATTCTAAAAAATATGTAAGTATTTGTGTCCGGAAATGCATTATTGTCGGAAAGTAGAACACAATAGAAAGAAAACTCTGTACAGTATGATAGTGGGAGGGTATTAAACAATAGTAGAAAGGTGCTGCAATGTTTACGGCATAAGGAAATTATCCAAGAGTAGTAGGAAGGTTAACTATATTATAGTAGAAAGGTACTGCATGATAGTAAGGAGGTCTTGTTTAATAGTAGAAAGGTACTGCATGCTAGTATGGAGGTCTTATTTAAAAGTAGAAAGGTACTGCATGCCAGTAGGGAGGTATTGTTTAATAGTAGGAAGGTACATTGTATTATAGTAGAAAGTAACTGCATGATAGTAGGGATGTTTTGTTTAATAGTAAGAAGGTACAATATATTATATAATAGCAGAAAGGTGAACTAGTTTTTAGAAGAAAGGTACTACATGATAGTAGGAATGTTTTCTTAAATAGTAAGAAGGTGTAATATATAAAATAATAGCAGGAAGGTGCAATGTATTATAGTAGAAAGGTACTACATGATAGTAGGAATGTTTTCTTAAATAGTAAGAAGGTATAATATATAAAATAATAGCAGGAAGGTGCAATGTATTATAGTAGAAAGGTACTACATGATAGTAGGAATGTTTTCGTAAATAGTAAGAAGGTGTAATATATAAAATAATAGCAGGAAGGTAAAACGTATTACAGTAGAAAGGTACTTCATGATAGTACGAAGGTCTTGCTTAGTAGTAGGAAGGTACAATGTATTGCAGTAGAAAGGTACTACATGATAGTAGGAAGGTAATATTTAGCAGTAGGAGGTCAATGTTTTATAGCATAGCAGGGAGGTGCAATGTTTGTTAAAAGGAAGGTAACACGTGATAATAAGAAGGTTGTGTAGTAGTAGTAGTAGTAGTAGTAGTAGTAGTTGTAGTAGTAGTAGTAGTAGGTGCAATGTATCATGGAATAGCAGCAAGGTGTAATGGATTATAACAGAAAGGTATTACATGATAGTATATAGGAAGGTCTTGTTTAATAGTAGGAATGTGCAATGTATGATAATAGAAAGATTCTACATTGTAGTAGGTAGATGCCATGTTTTATATAATAGCAGGGAGGTGCAATTTATTTTAAAAGGCAGGTAACATGTGATATTAGGAAAGTTTTATTTAGTAGTAGCAATATGTATCGTATTATAAAAGAGCATGAAGGTGCAATTATTTTAGCAGCAAGTCACTTCATGATTCTAAGAAGTATAAGAAACACATCATAGTAGGAAGGTAATACATGATAGTAGGAAGGTATTTCATGAACGTATGAAGGTATAACATGATATGAGGAAGGTATTTAATGATAGTAAGAGGATAGTACATGATAGTAGGAAGGTAAAACATGACAGTAGGAGGATTTAACATGATAGTACGAGGGTTTTATATGATATAAGAAGGTGTAACATTTCATAAAAGTAGGAAGGTATAACACGATAGTAGAAAAGTGTAACATGATAGTAGGAAGGTATAATATGATAATCGGAAGGTATAATATGATGGTAGGAAGGTAATACGTGATAGTAAGAAGGTATTAAATGATTGTAGGAAGATATAACATGATAGTTAGAAGGTATTAAATAATAGTAGGAAGGTATAACATGATAGTAGGAAGGTATTACATGATAGTAAGAAGGTATAACATGAAAATTGGAAGGTATAACGATCGAACATAGGAAGTTAATCCATAATAGTAGAGGGTTATACATGATAAAGGAAGGTATTTCATTATAATAGAAAGGTATAACATGATAGTAGAAAGATATAACAATACATAATAGGAAGGTAATACATAATAGAAGGAGGGTATACGTATTACATGGTAATAGGAAGGTATTACATGATAGTAGAAATTCATAACATGATAGTAGGAAGGTACAACATGATAGTAGGGATGTATTTCATGATATTATGAAGGTATAGCGATAGATAATAGAAAGGTTATACATAATAATAGGACGGTAAACATGATAAGGGAAGGTATTACATGGTTTAACATGATAGTAGGAACGTATAACAATAAATTATAGGAAAAATACATAATAGTAAGAGGGTATAACATGATAGTAGGAAGGTATAACATGAAAATAGGAAGGTATTACATAATAGTAAAAAGGTATCACATGCTATTTGGAAGGTATAACATGACAGTAGTAGGGTTTTACATGATAGTAGGAAGGTATAACATGATAGTAGGAAGGTATATCATGATAGTAGGGAGGTATAATATGATAGTCGGAAGGTATAATATGATAGTAGGAATGTATTTCATGATAGTAAGAAGATAGTTGATGATAGTAGGAAGGTATCATATGATAGTAAGAAGGTATAACATGATATTAGGAAGGTATAACATGACAGTAGGAGGGTTTTACATGACAGTACGAGGGTTTTACATGATATAGGAAGGTGTAACATTTCTTAAAAGTAGGAAGGTATAACATGATAGTAGGAAAGTATAACATGATAGTAGGAAGGCATTATATGATAGTAGGAAGGTATAATATGATAGTCAGAAGGTATAATATGATAGTAGGAATGTATTTCATGAGAGTAGGAAGGTATAAGATGATAGTAGGAAGGTATATCATGATAGTAGGGAGGTATGATATGATAGTCGGAAGGTATAATATGATAGTAGGAATGTATTTCATGATAGTAAGAAGATAGTACATGATAGTAGGAAGGTATCACATGATAGTAAGAAGGTATAACATGATATTAGGAAGGTATAACATGACAGTAGGAGGGATTTAGATGATAGTACGAGGGTTTTACATGATATAGGAAGGTGTAACATTTCTTAAAAGTAAGATGGTATAACATGATAGGAAAGTATAATATGATAATAGGAAGGTATAATATGATAGTAGGAAGGTATAATATGATAGTCGGAAGGTATAATATGATAGTAGGAATGTATTTCATGATATTAGGAAGGTATAACATGATAGTAGGAAGGTATAACATGATAGTAAGACTATATTACATGATATAGGAAGGTAAACGTGATAGTAAGAAGGTATTAAATGATTGTAGGAAGATATAACATATTAATAGGAAGGTAATACATGATAGTAAGAAGCTATTACATGATATTAGGAAGGTATAGCGATAGATAATAGAAAGGTAATACATGATAATAGGACGATAAAACATGATAAGGGAAGGTATCACATTATAAAAGAAAGGTTTAACATGATAGTAGGAACGTATAACAATACATCATAGGAAAAGTACATAATAGTAAAAGGGTGTAACATGATAGTAGGAAGGTATTACATGATAGTAGGAAGGTATTACATAATCGTAGGAAGGTATCACATGCTAATAGGATTGTATTACATGATAGTATGAAGGTATAATAGTAGTGTAGGAAGTATTTACATGATAGCACATTATGTAGGAAGGTATTACATGATAGTAGGAAGGTATTACATGATAATAGGAAGGTATTACATGATAGTAGAAATTTATAACATGATATAAGGAAGGTATAACATGATAGTAGGAAGGTATTACATGATAGTAGGAAGGTATTACATGATAATAGGAAGGTATTACATGATAGTAGAAATTTATAGCATGATATAAGGAAGGTATAACATGATAGTAGGAAGGTATTACATGATAGTAAGAAGGTACAACATGATATTAGGATGGTATAGCGATAGATAATAGAAAGGTTATGCATAATAAGATGACGGTAAAACATGATAAGGGAAGTTATTACATAATAAAGAAAGGTTTAACATGATAGTAGGAAGGTATAACAATACATTATAGGAAAAATACATAATAGTAAGAGGGTATAACATGATAGTAGGAAGGTATTACATGATAGTAGGAAGGTATTACATAATAGTAGGAAGGTATCACATGCTAATAGGATTGTATTACATGATAGTATGAAGGTATAATAGTAGTGTAGGAAGTATTTACATGATAGCACATTATGTAGGATGGTATTACATGATAGTAGGAAGGTATTACATGATAATAGGAAGGTATTACGTGATAGTAGAAATTTATAACATGATATAAGGAAGGTATAACATGATAGTAGGAAGGTATTACATGAAAGTAGGAAGGTATTACATAATAGTAGTAAAAGGTATAATATGATAGTAGGAATGTATTTCATGATATTAGGAAGGTATAACATGATAGTAGGAAGGTATAACATGATAGTAGGAAGGAATTACATGATAGTAAGAAGGTATAACCTGATATTAGGAAGGTACAACATGACAGTAGGAA